TCCAGCTTTCAGCGCTGTCACACTTTGAATGACAATTGCGCGGTCATGCAACACTGTACCCATATGAAATTTTTTTCATTTTTTGTGACAGATAGAGCTTTATTTTGGTGGTATTTATTCACCTCTGGGTTTTTTATTTTTTCTTAAACAAACCAAAAACCACTGAAAATTTTGAAAAAAAAAGTTTTTTCTTAGTTTTTGTTATAAAATTTTGTAAATAAGTGATTTTTCTCCTTCACTGATGTGCGCTAATGAGGCTGTAGTGATGGGCACTGATAGGCTGCACTGATGGACACTGATAGGTGGCACTGATGAGGAGACACTGGTAGGTGGCACTGATGGGCATTGACAGGCATCACTGAAGGGCACTGAAAGGTAGCACATCATATATGGCACTGATAGGTGCACAGACTGGCATTGATAGGCGGCACTGACTGGCACTGATAGGCGGCACTGACTGGCACTGTTAGGCGGCACTGATAGGCAGCACTGACTGGCACTGATGCACACTGATAGGCGGCACTGACTGGCACTGATTGGCAGCACTGATAGGTGGCACTGACTGGCATTCATAGGTGGCACTGACTGGCACTGATGGGTGACACTGAAAGGCAGCTCAGATGGATACTGATATGGTCTTGATGTGCACTGTTAGGCACTGAAATGTGGCACTGATGGGCACTGGCAGGTGGCATGGATGAGCACTGACACATGGCACTGATGGACATTGACAGGTGGCACTTCTGGGGCTACACTGTTCATCAGGGCACACTGATCATCAGTGCTCTGATAATTGGTGTAGATGTCCCCCCGCGGAATGCCGATTACCGGCTCTCCTCTCCTCTCGAGCTGTCAGCGTGACAGCTCGTGAGGACAGAAATGCCGATAACCGGCATTTCCCTGTTTACATGTGATCAGCTGTGATTGGACACAGCTGATCACATGACCGAGTCGACATCTTTGGCTCTTTTCGTTGATTGGTGATACGCTGTGTCCGAGTGACACAGCGCACCGCCGATCGCAGCGCGCTCCCAAAGCCGCGCATTCGCGGTGAGAAAGGGAGGACGTCATATGACGTCCTCCCAGAACGAGAGAACCACCTTGCGCCCCTCATTGTACTATATGGCGGGCGGGAGGCGGTTAAAGGGATCAAAACTGATATTTCAGGCTCCATGCACACTAGCGTTTTTTTTTTTAAGCTCAAGAAAGGCTGGAAAAAATGCTGTATAAAAAAAATGCTGGTAATAGCATTTTTTGTAGCATTTTAGAAGTGTTCAGAAGCATTTAGGAGCGTTAGCATTTTATTAGTGTTTTTACAGTACATGCAAAGGAAAAAATTAAAAAGCTAGAAAAAAGCTGTTAGGAACGTTTTAGTAGCATTTAGCACTGTGTAGGAGTGTTTAGCATTTTTTTCTGCTGGAAAAATGCTCCAAAAAAATCTACAAAAACAATTTCTTTTCTTCTCCTAAAATGCTGATAGGAGCTTAAAAAAACGCTAGTGTGCATGGAGCCTCCATTTTTTATTCTGATCAATAAAACTAGTGTTTATCATACTTTGTAATATTGACCACATATTTCAATGTATCTCATTTAGTTATTAAAGTGGGTATATTTTCTGCCTTTATGCTTTTTTAACCACCTGAGCTGGAAAATTTTACCCTCTTCATAACTAGGTCATTTTTGCTATTTACACTAAACTAATTTAACTGGTAATTGGGTGGTCATGCAACACTGTACCCGAAATTTGTACATTTTTTTTCATACAAATAGAGCTTTCCTTTGGCAGAACACCACTGGGTTTTTTATTTTTTGCAATATACTGGTAACTGAAAAAATACTCAAAATTTTAAAAAAAAAGCTGTGTTTTTTACTTTCTGCTACAAAAAATATCCAATAATTTTATTTTTTTTTTAAATCAACTTTCTTCATACATTTTGGCCAACATGTATTCTGCTACATGTATTTCAGACAATAATCCCAGTAAGTATATATTGACTGGTTTGTGTGAAAGTTATAGTGCCTATAAACTATGGTATTAATGCGGGAATTTTATTTTTTTTATGTATATATTAATAGCAGTGATCAGTGACTTATAATAACTGATGTGGGGGGTACTGACTAACTGCCACTAGCATCACCAGTGACATTAATATGGTGATCAGTGAGCAGGCGGGGGGCGCAAGCAGCTACGTACAGGTACGTCTATATGCCTGTCTGCAGTCCATTGCGGGTGGGTGGTCTTCAAGTGGTTACCACATATATGTTTGATTTATTTTTTAAGGAATTCACAAAGGCTAGGTTCACATTTATGTACAAAAACATGCATCCATTTGAAGACACACAATGGTGTCAATGATTCTTAATAACAACCAACTGCACCTCACTAAGGCACACCTAAAATTGTACTGAGTTTTGGTGAGGCACAATTTAAGAAAGGGTCATGTATTTCTTTTGTGATATTTTTGCGTGTAGTTAAAAAAAGGCGTAGGTGTGAATAGAGCCTAAACTTTAAAATAACTAGTTTGATTTGGATAAGATTTTATATGAATAAAATATAATCTGTCCCTGTACAAAGCATTAGTAAGACCTCGTTTGGAGCATACAGTTTAGTTTTGGGCACCAGTTTACAAAAAAACATGGTGGAACTGGAGAGAGCGCACAGAAGGACAACCAAACTGATGGAGGAGTTCAGCGGTGAAGAAAGATTAGCTGAATTTAAAGAAGATCTTCAATCTAGAAAGTAAAAATTTAAAGTCAACAGCTACAAATACTGTAGCTGCTGACTTTTAATAAACAGACACTTACCTGTCCAGGGATCCAGCACTGTCCTCACTCGGGCTGGTTCCTTGCCGGTCTTCAGGTCCCTGGCATGGTCACTGTGGGAAGGCGGAAGAGTTGAGCTGTACTTTGTGAATGGTCCCACAGTCTTCTGGGACCTATGATGTGTCCCTGCAGGCTGTGGGTAAAGGGGGGGGGCAGCGAAAGTGGGAGCGGGGGTAACTACTATAAAAACTAGGTACTTGCTCCCCCCAAAAAAAATTTTAATAAACAAAATGTGGTGGTGGGGGCATAAAACAAAACTTCCAATGTTAGGGTGATGTTCCGCTTCTGTTTATTCCCTATGAATTAAGAGTGGATATGATCGCCTTTTATACTGTAAATACATAAATGGTCTATATAGTAAACTAGGCGCAAAGTTAAATAAAAAGTTCATGTTAAATAAAAAAATTACAAGGTTGCACTCTATGGAGGAAAAGAGATGTAACCCCCAGAAAGGCTTCACAATAAGAGCTGTGAAAATGTGGAAAAAACGTCCCTACAAGATAGTTCTAGCCAGTTCTGTAGAACGTTTCAAAAAAGGATGGAAATGTTTGTAAATGCACAAAGTACAACCTGCTTTTACTATGTGCTGTAACAGTAACAGTTGTACAACCTTCATGCCTTTTTTATTGTTGTGGCTCATTAGTTTGCAGAACATGAAGAAAGATCGCAGGTACAAATATCAGACTTTATTGACACATCACAGGATTACAACCATCTGACTGTCCTCATCTAGAAAAAATGTACAAACGCTGTGGAACATGCAGCGATCCGGCTGTGTCTTAACTAAACATTCTTCCCTTCTAAGATTTAAATGAAAGCCAAATAAATACATCCCAAAAATTTCATTGTGTCATGAAATTTGAAGCGTGCTCCCCTGAATAGATCAGACTATTACTAAAATGATGTCTATGACAAATCTGTGGGACATATTATGGCTGAAATGATGTACAGATGTAGGTGAGAAATTGCTGGAGGTTACTGTAGAGGGGAATGTTTCAGCCATCACTCTAGAGAGGCAATGCTCTCCAGCTTTCTGTTGCTTCATTAATATTTTACAAACAATTTTTAAATGATAACAATGGATGGATAGTACTGAAGATTCTAGGGCAGGGTGATTGTTATAGCAGGGGTTGCAATCGGCAGTTACAGGCTGGCTATCAGCCCACAGTTGTCAGAAATGAGTTTCCAAAACAATATCCTGACATTGAAGGTCCCACAATAATGACACTGACAGTTGGGGATCCAGTTTGGCAAAATAACACTGTGTAAAAGAAAAGTAGTCATCTGTTCTTGAACCATAGGAGTCTCTGATAGTCCAGTTGGCCATCACATCCTTTCATGTATAATATAATCACCTTCAGTCTTTACACAAGACTGCTGGTAAATGTGTGCTTGACAACAGGTGTGTGCCAGTGTCCATCTTATCCAATATGGGTTGTCAGAGTCAGAGGGCTCCCTCACGGCATCCACCATTAACATACTTAGACAGAACCCACAAAGCTGCAGACTGAATGGAAACTGATCAGTAAAGGGCCTCTGAAGACCCAATGGGACACTGGTGATCTTTGGAACGTACAGATGTTCTTATAGATCATGTAATCCTATTGCACTGGAGAGATCCGTACTCTGCATTTGACAGTCTGGTCTGTGCAAGTGATCAGTATGGATAATAAGCTCAGCACAATTTCACAAAAATATCTGCCCACTCGTTCCTAGAGCCTGAGTATTTCTTGTAGGTCCACTATATGTACAGCTCCTTTGCAGTGTCCAGAAAAGTATAATGTATCTGTGGAGCCAATGATGCAGGTGAAGGAGATCTCCATTCCACTGATGCAGTGAAGACCACTGTCCATGTAGCCAGCCATCCATTCACCTCATCCTGCCTTATCTGAAAAGACCTATGGAGCATAACACAGGGACTGACATAGACACCAACACAAGAAACCAGCCCCATTGTTCCCCCGGGCTCTCATTCCACATCTGAGGTGCCTGTAGGGGCTGTCAGTGTGTAGAAAAGAAAGATTTCTTTCAGCAGGATAACAAGCCCGAGGGAGGATGAGGGTAGCAAGGTCCTCCAAAATATCTATGAAGTCTTTTCCTGGGAAAGGGGAGAGGGGTGCTCCACATGGCTTCAAGGTATCCCAAACCTCCCCCCATCTCCACAGTCACCTTCTTCATCAAAACTTGCTGAGGGAGTAGAGGATGGAGAACCAGAGGCAAATGATGGCCAAGGCAGCTGAGGTAGAGCTGCTTGTGTTGTGCACAGCTCCCGGTCCTGCCAAGAGAAAGTGTTCATTATTCATCAGTGATAGCTAGTGAAAATAGTTTACATTAATCTGGGATCTTTAAAGCTGCTTGTGGAAAAAACTTTTACAGATTTGCAAGACGACAACCAGACGCGATACAGCAGAATGCTTCAACAGGATGGACTAGATGAAGCAAAGACCCCGTAAGAGTTGAAACACATTGAGAGGATCTAAAATAGCAACCTGTTGTTTTTAATGTATATATTTAAATTGTACCCACCTTTAGTAGATGCAGTTAAGAAATATGCTTTATTAATCTTGGGGATGTGCTAGTCAATCAAAAGGACTCTGACTTATTAAAGAGTGTGAAATATTTGTTGCCACCTGGATGCAGGGTATAGCAGAAATTGAATCAAAGTCTGAAATCTGATTGACTACACAGACAGAAGTGATTTGTGTTCAGCTTACATCTCTCTCCTCTCGGGATGGTGACAGGGTCTCTAATATATGTAGGTGATAGAAAGCTTAAGTGTTCAGCCTTGTGACGTGCGGCTAGTGTGGATTGTTACTATGGCTGCCCTTCTCAGCAGGAGACACCAGCAGAGTTGCTCATACTAACCAACTAGAGCCCAGAACACATTGATCCAGTGCAAGAGGCAATCAAAGCTAACAATTGATTAGTCACTACAGGCAACACAGATGCTCTTCTTATCGTCATACCATATAAGATGACACTGGCGTTGCTGTTGCCCAGCTTATTTGATGCCACACAAGTATAATTCCCATAATCCTTTTCAGATACATTGAAGAAGGTCAGAACGGACATGTGATCTTTGTTATCGATCCTTACTCCACCTAGGTTGTTAGATAACCTGTAGAATATAAGCAAATTTCATCACAATTCAAGTCTCCTAGGAATACAGAACACATTCATTTGCTCTGGCAGAGAATCTATTTGAATAAAAATCACTTGTCAGTTTTTCTTTCTTGGAGATGTGCGCATGTTACCAGACACAGCATGCTAAGATTCATTGACATGAAAGATGTAGCCAGATTCCCTACTGTCACTATCAAGTCATGCAAAACCTTCAACTTCTGCAGTTCCTCTTCCTGAAATGCTGTGCAGGTTCTATCCTGCCTCTATAGTAATAATCTGTCTGTTTCAAACTATTTGTTTATATTATTTCTCCAGAATCTCCTGGACAAGGGGCCGGGCATCGTGTCCAACGCTTAGCACAGCATCATTGGATCTAGACGTGTTGAAAGGCCACTGATGGAGGGTTGGAAGACATTTCACTTGTATAATGGGCAGCGTCTGCTGAACAGGAGCAGGGCAATGTGTTGGATGCTCAGTGTGGCATCATCAGGACTAGAATTGTTGGAAGAAGGTGGATAGAAAGGTGGCAGGCATTTCACTTGTATAATGTGCAAAGTCTCTTGGACAAGGGGCAGGGCAATGTGTTGGATTCTTAGTGTGGCATCATCAAGACTAGAATTGTTGGAAGACCAAAGATAAAAGGGTGGCAGACATTACACCAGTATAATGGGTAGAGTTTCCTGGACACAGGTAGGGCAGTGTGTTCCTCGGTGTGGCATAATCAGATCTACATTTTAACATGAGCAGGGTAGATATGAGCCCTCTTGGATCCAAAAACACAACCATGTCTTGTGTACAGCCAACAGCTTCTGAAGGGTGATTGTGTGACCTAGGACACCACAAATATGTAAACCGCCATATATCCTGATGAATGAATATTACCAATTCAATTTTATTACAGATATGAGAAGAGGCCAGCCACATGTCAGTTTTGGAAGTGATGGTGACACCAGTGGATGATGCCTACATAATGTGTGTTGGCATTTGTAGTCTCCATCAGAAGCCCATGTTGCAGAGTGTGAACCCTGAAGCACAGTCTAGAGACAGGGCCAGAACACTGCCACCCTTTAACAAGAAGTGCTTGAACAAGGACCGTCATTGCAGGATCACCAGAGATTATATTAATTGGAAGCTGCAAATTAAAAGTATTGAACCTGGATGACATTAACATTAAAAGAGATTTTAGTGATTGGATTTATATCTACTTTCAGGTGATTTCACTGCAATGTTTGTGAGTGTTCTTTTTTTTCAATTTTCCCAGCTCAATCAACTGTGAAGTATCGACAGATGAAAGGTCCTTACACTTCAGCCTGTTTCTGTAACCTAACTGCAACACAGTATGCACCCTCAAGGCTCACAATACTTTCTGAATCATTAACCTGGAACAGGGATAATGTTAAAAGGTCACATGTCCTTGTCTGTATACCCATTCTAGTTTAGTAAAAGCAGAGGGTCAGCAAGACACCCAGGTAATTAACATTCTAAGGATGGAGAGGTCCGCAATGGCAGACTCCATGTTTCTATCAGGAAAGGCTTCAAAGTCTGACTACCTCCCAAATAACCATCACACTAAAGGGCTGGCATCACTCTTCTGCCCATCAACATCTCATAATAATGGAAATGTTTCTGAGGTTCTGTATGCTGAAACTATGGAACAGAGGCAAAGGGGGAGATTTACTAAAACTGGTGCAGCTGTGCATGGTAAACCAATCAGTTTCTAACTTCAGCTTGTTAAGCTTTGACAATAAAATCTGGAAGCTGATGGGTTTCTATTCAGAGCTGCTCCAGATTTTGCATCATGCAGTTTTAGTTATACCCTCCAAAGACACCTGGACGTTGGTATACACTGGGACTCATCAAGCAGTTTTGAAGGCTTTGAAAAGCAGTCTTTAATTTCTGAACTGGGTGGTATAAAGAAGTGTTTATTGTGTTTTTTTGCACACATAACTATAGTTCCCCTACACAAGCCAATGAAAATATATTGGGAACGCATCTCCATTGCAGCCATTTTCCAGGAACACAAGCGAGAACTGCTTCTGGTATTCGTATGTGCTAATCTTTACAAGGTAATGAGTCCTCCGTATTACCATATGTGTAGCTGATTACATACTGTGCAAAAGACGTTATAAATCTATAATCGTATTACTGATGTTATATATCTAGTACATGATAACCCCCAGCATGCTGCAGCAGGGAGCCTGCCTACTTTACATACATCAGAGTCACACTACTGGAAACATCTGTTCTTCATTTGGCATCAGAGATGAATAAAGAAACTAAAGATGCTAATATTTTATAAATTACTATGAAATGTACTTGGATAAGAATTCAATTCTGAGACCAAAATTAAACAGCGATGCCGTCTATTTATAAGCTTCTCTTGTTCCATCACATTCCAGAGGAGGGAGCACTCCTCTGTCAGTCTTTCACTCTCAGCTGAAGGGCCAGAGCAAATTACACCAAATGTTCTGATCGATCTTCTATCTCCTTATATTAGATTATAGAAGAGTGCATAGCCCATAGACTTGCTGCCTTTGGATCTGCTTTTTGTTGGTGCCACAGTGTAAAGAAGCACTTCTTCCTACATTGGTCTATATGAGCAGTTCCACCCATGGAATAGACAAGCTTCAATGAGAATGCAGCATATTTGGCCATTTTAATGGAGTTCAGCAGCATAGTGTGACCAGGAAATCTTCTATAATCAGAGATGTGGTCACACAGCTTCAGAAAATGATTTACGCCCAAAGAGCAGCAATAAAGTGGACCTTCCCTGTCCCTGCCTTCTCCCCCTTCCACTCTCACATTTAGATATTTTTTACCTTTATTGTGTTTGAGGAGAGAATGACATGTAGCACCCTGTCTTAAAGAGGGGCTACCACCTAAATTTAGCTATGCTTGGTGGTAGTCAGCCAAAGCTGAATTTGTAGTTTATTTTGGCACTTGGTTTCCCCTAAACTCAGTGGAGCTGTTGTTTCTTTCTTCGGCCAGTAGGTGTCAATGGTACCTTTGACATTAGTGTGAGATTCCACAGTAAGACTGAGATATGAATAATTATATTTTCCTTCAGCCAATTAATAGGAGTTTTTTTTTTACAACTGGTGCATGCTCGGAAGGATATGCTTGTGATCTGGCCTGGGGAGGTGTTGCTGGAGTAATCTATCCTGTTAGGCCAATAGCCTGTGTGGGGTCTACCATGTGCCCTGGACTAGGAAATAGGCCTGCCTGAAGTGGTCCTGGAAGTTGTCCTGCCTGTCAATGGGGGAAGCTGTGCCGAGATCAAGACCCAGGAAGAGGACCTGGGTGTGGCAAAATAAGATGAAGGCTGGTTTTCATGCAGAGGCATGGTGACTCTCTTGGACAGAATTCATGAAAGCTTAGGACATTGTACAGAGTGTACTGGAACCAGCGCAGAAAGAGAAGTCTATGACCAGCTCAATAATTTACCTACAGTGCTGCCTAGCTGGCTTAAAGGATCTTGCACCGTGTAGCTGAACATGGATCTGGAGAAGTCTGTGTTACTCTGGGTGTTTGGGATCCATTTCCTCCTTGTGTGATGAGACATAAGAGGTGACTGCTGCCCAAAGTTCTTTTTGTCCCTCATTGTAGCCATTGACTAAGTCCTGGGGTGACCCACCCTATCCCCTATGCTTCTGCTTCAGGTCCTAGCAGAGTCCTGCGTCACATCTGCACACATGGTCCTCTTTAACATATCACCTCAGATCCAATCTTACATAGCAATGGACAGGGCTGGTCCTTTAGCACCAAAGGCAAAAAAATCAAAGAGTGCCCCACCCATGAGTGGTGAACTACTTCTTCATCATAGATTGCAGGTCCTGCCCTCTCTATGCCCTTTGTCTCCTGCTGAAGTGCTTAAGGCAGCTCTTCTGGCTACTCATAGCACAAAACCTAACTAATCTCCAATTGTCAAAGCCAATTATAATCTTCATCTACAGATGTTCCTGTAATGTATTGCTAGCACACATCATTTCCCCAATTAAGAATAAGGATTATAAGATTTCACAAAGTTTATACCGAATTCTCACAGACTCACCGAGTGTCTTCCTTATACCACTGGAATTCAGCCAGTGGAACGGCCAGGGCGGAGCAGCGCAAAATGCCTTTTTGTCCAACAGACGCTCCCGTGTTTCTGGCATCAGAAATGTATGGAGGGTCTATGAAATGGACACACAAATCATAAAGTCATATTGATTATATAATTATGTGGCATGGTTATCAAAGATTTAATTAGGAAGACTTCCATAACATTCACCCACCATTTTCCCCAGTGAAAAAATACTTTGCTTCACTTTCAACAACATTTGTTTTTCAAAAGGGGAAGGCCATTACGGTAACACTCACCCTATTCAGACAAATTTTACTTGCCTGTGCAGTCACCTGACATTCCATCAACCGGTTTCTAAATAAAATGTGCCTGGTTGAGGAGTCAAATCATTTTTTTTTTCAATAGAAAATGAAATGCTTGCTTATAGAGCATGTTGGACCTGTTTACAATGTAAAAAAAAAATAAGAAAGTGCCCCCCTCTCAGAGCTAATGAGCCTGTTATCCGCCTTATCACCATAGCAAAAAAAGCAGCAATCCTGCTGTTCCCCCCTTACAATGTTGATACCAGCCCACATGCATTTCTGCACTGGGGGCTGCTTTCAAAGAGGTTTCTTATAAAAAAAGGGCAAGCTCCCAACCATGCTGATAGGTATTGGGAGGGGTAGGTGGGTGGCCACTGCCTGGTAAACTGGGTTTAGGGTTTTTTCAGACCACTAACAAATTAACAAATGTGTGTGGGTATGAATATGAAATTTTAATAAACACACTAAACAGTTTTAAAAATAAATGGGTGCTTTACTAATATTTACCTTCCAGGCCCAAGGGGTGTCTGAAGAAGTCCCACACAGAGCCTCCTCCAGTGGTAGAATCCTAGAGAAGACAGCACACCCCCTCTTCTGGTTTTCTACCGTTGGCATTGTTTTAAGTGCTCAGGGAACTCTGGGGAAGTGTCTTTTTAAGATCCCTATGCCATCACTAACCAAGTGAATTGCACATATTTGGGCTAATATCATATATAAGCTGCAATGTTATCTCCTACCCCTCTCAAAGAGCCCTCTGTGCTGAAGGGCATAGGGGATGATATCAACACACACATACAGTATAGACTGCGCCTGCTAACATATAGTACTGTAGTGCACATGCTTGTATGTGTCATGCCTTGTAGATGGTCTTTGCTGGTATATGATGTATATATGGATTCTACCTCTTGGGTTTTAGAGTCCTCTGTGAATTATTTTTTTTTTTTTTTAGATGACAATAAATTGCTAGGCACAGATATACACTGTCAGACATTTCTCAGCCTCTTTCATGTACGTCTTTGCTATAATAGCAAAAGAAGAAGATGTCACTCACAGTTGACTGTGATTCTGACTCTGCGGACATCAGGTGTGGACACCTCATTGGCAGCGCTGCATTCATATAGTCCTGACTGCTCCCTGGTGATCCCTATAATCTCCAGATACTCATCATCACCGACAAATCCACGAGCTGTAGGAGGAGGAGAAGAGACAACAGTCATATGAAAAGCACATACAGGACCCTACGGATGAGCACATGGCTTCACTGAGAATACCAGGTTGGATGAAGCCAATGATCTTGCAGATGTAAACACCAGCTTTTCCATCCTACCCTGTCATTAACCATAATGTCCTCCTGCAGACTCCAGTGTTTTTACCTCCTCTGCAGCATTTCCTGTGGTCAGAAGTGAAGGCATTTTTCACTCATGGTACACAAAATCTGGAAACAGAGAATGGGCAACCAAGAGAGGATGGTGACTTTAAGCTGAGGAACCAAAATATTGGTGTACCTAATAAATGTCTCCTGTACACGACATTATGGGAAAACTGCAGAAGTGGTAGTGATGGTACAGCAGCGTTATCTTCTGGCAGGATAATAGTGTGATCAAGGCCTGTAACAGGCCACCACTCTCTGTGTGGCCTATGGACCTCTTGCATGAATTCTTCATTTCTCTGCAGAGTCCCCCTCTCCTTATACACTGGGAATGATGGTATCTTTACTGCACAATTGTCTCACAGCCTGTCCACACACATGACCATTTAGTATATACAGTACATATATATATATATAGTATATAAGCAGTGTTCCATGTAGCAGTGAAGTGTCGGCCCCCCCTAGGATGGGAAGTGATGACATTAGCCCAGGACCTCGGGTGGTCAGCAGTCTCTGATTGGAGGATTGGTCCATACATCTCCGGTACACACACTGGCACACACAATCCTCCAGCTGTAACAAGGATTCAGCTAGTGACCGAAGCACTGGCTCCGCCTTCTTCTACACAACTGGAGCCAATCAATAGACGGGGGTGTTCTCTAGTTGCAGGGTTAACCCTTTGTGAGCAGGATGATCGGGGTGCGAAGTGTATGAGAGGGAAGCGGTGTAGTGCTGGGAGGCTGCCTGTCCTCCCTGAGAGCCGCAGCCTGGACTCCGCACCCCTCAGGAGCCATCAGAGGTGATCCGAGCCTAGGAGGATGGTGGGTCATGGAGGTGACAGGAGGAGGAGGGGGGGCAGACAATGGTCAGGGTGAGGGGAGAGGATGCTGACTGATTGTGTGGGAAGCCGCCACGTCATAAATGATCCTTCAGCTGAGGGGAAGGATGGCAGAGGGGGAGAAGAAAAGACAGAGGAAGACACCGGGTGTCTGGGGCCAGTTTAGCAGCATTCAGCAGTGTTCCTCTCAGACTCAGTCTCTTACTGCAAGCCAGTTGGTGGCTGCTGATCACTGTGGATTTTTGTAACTCTGTCTCTTTTTTTGTTTTGTTTCTCTGTCTGATTGGTTAATATAGTTAATTTATATTTGGTTAATATATATTTTGTCTTTAATATTGGTGCTGGTGGCATCTTATGGCACTTAATTTTGCAAATTAAAAGAAATGTATTAGTTTCATGTTTTGTTGATTTAATATTTTCTACAATTTTTTTTTAAATGTTTAATTAATTCATTGATTATTTTTTTTTTTTTTTTGGGGGGGGGGGGGGGAGGGGCGCAAGTAGCTGGTCTTGCCTAAGGCGCAATATAGTCTAGCACCGGCTCTGCGTGTGATTACACAGCACAGTGCCAGACTTCCAATAGCATGGCATTATGGGAAATAATACAGCAGCTTTAAAGTATCTCAAGTTCTAAAAAGTTTGTTTTCCTTGTTGATGGAGTGATGGAACTCTTAGTTTAACAGTTGTTACTGCTACAGGAGTTGAGGGGAACTCTTCTAATCAGAACAACTGTTCCAGTGACAACTGTCTAAAAAAATATTCTTAGTGTGAAGAGACTTAATCTAACTTCCTCTTGCTTTTCCAGGACAGAAAATAAAGGAATACAGTATCTGCCAAGCACAGGCAGCAGGAAATAAAAAAAAAACCTAGAGAATATTTAACAATTCCCTTCTCTAAAACTAGAAAAATTGCATGTATATTCAAGCAGGTAATTTGCAGCAATGTTCATTGTTATGAGCCACTAAAGTAGAAAGTAGACTCTGAGGACCAATCACTATGGCCTGATCCCTGCTGATGTATCCTGTGATTGATAATGATTGTGTATTACGTGCAATGTCCTGCTATTGATCACAAAAACCCACAACACCCAGCTATTTTCTAATCACCAGATAGCTGACATATGGGTGGGAGAATATGACATGGCTTTGGTGAGAGAGAAAAAGAAGATCTACGGGAAAGAGGATATAAAATGGATTTACAGTCAGGTCCATAAATATTGGGACATCGACACAATTCTAACATTTTTGGCTCTATACACCACCACAATGGATTTGAAATGAAACAAAAAAGATGTGCTTTAACTGCAGACTCTCAGCTTTAATTTTAAGGGTATTTACATTCAAATCGGGTGAACGGTGTAGGAATTACAACACTTTGCATTTGTGCCTCCCACTTGTTAAGGGACCAAAGGTAATGGGACAATTGGCTTCTCAGCTGTTCCATGGCCAGGTGTGTGTTATTCCCTCAATATCCCAATTACAATGAGCAGATAAAAGGTCCAGAGTTAATTTCATGTGTGCTATTTGCATTTGGAATCTGTTGCTGTCAATTCTCAAGATGAGATCCAAAGAGCTGTCACTATCAGTGAAGCAAGCCATCATTAGGCTGAAAAAACAAAACAAACCAATCAGAGAGATAGCAAAAACATTAGGCGTGGCCAAAACAACTGTTTGGAACATTCTTAAAAAGAAGGAACGCACCGGTGAGCTCAGCAACACCAAAAGGCCCAAAAGACCACGGAAAACAACTGGTGAGCCTCAAAAACAGGAAGGCAAACTCGCCAAACAACATCACAGTTCTGGAACAACATCCTATGGACAGATGAGACCAAGATCAACTTGTACCAGAGTGATGGGAAGAGAAGAGTATGGAGAAGAAAAGAAACTGCTCATGATCCTAAGCATACCACCTCATCAGTGAAGCATGGTGGTGGTAGTGTCATGGCGTGGGCATGTATGGCTGCCAATGGAACTGGTTCTCTTGTATTTATTGATGATGTGACTGCTGACAAAAGCAGCAGGTTGAATTCTGAAGTGTTTCGGGCAATATTATCTGCTCATATTCAGCCAAATGCTTCAGAACTCACTGGACGCCGCTTGACAGTGCAGATGGACAATGACCAAAAGCATACTGCAAAAGCAACCAAAGAGTTTTTTAAGGGAAAGTGGAATGTTATGCAATGGCCAAGTCAATCACCTGACCTGAATCCGATTGAGCATGTATTTCACTTGCTGAAGACAAAACTGAAGGGAAAATGCCCCAAGAACAAGCAGGAACTGAAGACAGTTGCAGTAGAGGCCTGGCAGAGCATCACCAGGGATGAAACCCAGCGTCTGGTGATGTCTATGCGTTCCAGACATCAGGTTGCAATTGACTGCAAAGGATTTGCAACCAAGTATTAAAAAGTGAAAGTTTGATTTATGATTATTATTCTGTCCCATTACTTTTGGTCCCTTAACAATTGGGAGGCACATATGCAAACTGTTGTAATTCCTACACCGTTCACCTGATTTGGATGTAAATACCCTCAAATTAAAGCTGACAGTCTGCAATTAAAGCACATCTTGTTCGTTTCATTTTAAATCCATTGTGGTGGTGTATAGAGCCAAAAATGTTAGAATTGTGTCGATGTCCCAATATTTATGGACCTGACTGTATCTGCTGGGGAGTACAGGTGACCTATGGGGGAGGATATAATTAAGATCTATGGGCAGAAGAGGAAAAAGGAATATATGGGTAAGAGGATTTAAAAAGATCTATGAGCTAGCTAACACAGGTGACCTATGGGGGAGGAGATATGGTGGATCTATAATATGAGCACTGAGGAGGATATAAAATGGATCTATGAGCTGGGGAGTACAGAAAACCTATGGGGGAGGATATAATTTTGATCTCTGGGCAGAAGAGGAAAAAAGGATCGATGGGTAAAAAGATCTAAAATGGATCTATGAGTTGGGGAGTATAGGTGACCTCTGGGAGGAGAATATCATATGGATCAATGGGCAGGAGAGAAAAAGACGGTCTATAAACTGGGGAGGAAAAGGTGGATCTATGGACTAGAGAGGAAAAGAGAATCTACAGGTTTGCCTGCTTCCCTCCTTTTGCAGCTCAGAAAGGCTACAATTGATAGGAAAGATGTAGCTAGGCAAGTGATATACAACCTAATGGGAGGCCCTCCACCGACAGAACTGGTGTGTGCAGCCGGGCAGGAGCCAAATAGCACTAACAAAGGACAAAGGAAAGGCGTTGCAAGTGTGTGCCCCCCCCCCCCCCCCTCCGAACCATACCAGGCCAGGGGACCCCTTTGGCAGAACACCTTGTCCCTGTGTTGATGAGGACAAGGCTCTCTTCCCACATCCCTGGCCCGATGGACGTAGGGGTCTGGGTGGGGTGACTAAAAATTATGTAGTAAATAAACAGTGTCCTTGTTTTCTAGGAGGCAGGCGGTTGCTTGTGTCCTAGTAACCAAATACACTTGCGACCCACAGGGCCGGTGCTAGACTGTTTTGCGCCCTAGAAAAGACCAGCCACTTGCGCCTCCCCCCCCCTTCCCCCGGCCAAATAAATAAATAAACAAACAAATAAATAAATAAAACATTTTAAAAACAGCAGAAAATATTAAATCAACAAAACATGAAATTGCTAAATGTCTTTTAATTTGCAAAATTAAGTGTCATAAGATGCCACCAGCACCAATATTAAAGACAAAATATATATATAACCAAATATATATTAACTATATTAACCAATCAGAGAAACAAAAACAAAAAAAGAGACAGAGTTACAAAAATCCACAGTGATCAGCAGCCGCCAACCGGCTTGCAGTAAGGGACTGAGAGGAACACTGCTGAATGCTGCTACACTGGCCCCAGACACCCAGCATCTTTCTCTGTCCTTTCTTCCTCCCCCTCCGCCGCCCCTCTCCTCAGCTGAAGAATTATTCATGGCGTGGCGGCGTCCCACATGATATTGTCCGCCC